CCCCCCCCCCCCCCCCCCTATGGATGAGGTTTTCTGAAGGGTCACCTGAATTTTAACAAAATTCTTAAGGGTTGCCTGTAAAATATTAAAATTTCTTAAGGGTCACCTCTGATTTACTAAAATTTCTTTACGTTTATAAACATTGAATAAAACTTTATCCGAAGGGTTGTCTAAAATATGAAAAATTCTGAACAGGATGGGGATGAGGTTTTCTGAGGGATCGCCTGAATTTTAACAAAATTCTTAGGATGACCCCCCTGGCCCACTTACTTTTTCTAGCCCCCCCCCCCTATACTTTATGACCAGTCCCCTTTATATATATTAACAAAACCATTATGAATATAAACATATGATGTTATTTTAATTATGAATATACATCGTTATAAGATTATAAATATCTTACAAACAATCGAATGTATTATTGAAAAATACCAGATATTAAACAAATAGATGGCTTTATTCTATATTCCCAAGAGGTTGGGTTTATAATTATTGTAGAAACCCTCTAAAATTCTGAGGGGTTGGCCTCAAAAACTTTGTTTCTGAGGGCTTAATATTTTGTATGTAAATTTCTTAGGGGATGCTTTTCATAAATTGCAATTTCTGAGGGGTCAGAAAAATAGCAACCTCATCCACATCCTCGTACCCAGGGTCTTTTTGGGAAAGACCCCGGTATTGTCTGGTCACGTGACTCTACAAAAATTAATTGCCGAAGGGGGGTGACAAAGTGTCAAATTAATTTCTAATACCAGGAGTGGGATTTTACGATACATAATTTACAATACGAAGCGCCCACTAACTTCTAGTTTATAGTTCTGTTTACTTTTAAATTACGAAAACACTGTAGCATTTTATCAACAGTCAAGTCAAGAAACAAATAAAATCGTATACTTTAAAGTTTGAAGTTGGGTATTCTCTCTCAAACATATTTTGATATCAAACCGGTCAGTCGCCGTCAACGTTTTTATATTTTCTCTTCTGTCTGTTTCTAAAATATGCCATTAGGTTTGTTGTTTGCAAACGTTGATATACTCTGTGCTGATTTACTAATAGTATGCGTCTTGTTTATTGAAGATTGATAAAATTTTGAAAAGTAACTGTTTGCCACAAATTACAATGTAAACATGACACTGCCAAACAGAGACTGAATTTTTCAGTTTCTCAGTTTTAACGTGAGCAAGTTAAAACTGTCGATGATTTATCTTTGAAAATACTTTTAATAATTTAATTCAATAGTTCATCAAATTTAAAACTTGTGGATAGGTAGGAAGTTGGCAGGTAGTAAAGTACACAAATAAAAATTTTCAAATGAATGTACAAAAATTCTCAGCCTCAGGGAAATGCGTATATCAGGCAGTGTATACAATCACAGCTTTAGCCTTTTTTCGGCCTCCATGAATTAATTAAGCAATGGGGCTGTTTATCTCTAGTGCAACATATTAGACTCTAAATATGTATATTAACACTATTATATATATTGATATCTAAACAGACTAACATGCACCAGCATGCATAATATAAACCACACCAGCATGCATAATATAAAGTCAGTATTATATTTCACAAAGTAAAAATTGCTGGCGTATTACTGTTAGAGCATCGATCAACAAATTACAGTAAAGCCAATGTCACAATTAAAGCTATTTATCAAATTTATGGTCTGTATTCTCTAATACATGTGTTCTCTAATGTCAAACATAAGTTACAAATATGTAGTCACATACAGTATTTGTATAAACCAGGGCTTGAATTTTATCGTGGCAATTGCCATAGAGGGAGAACAAAATGCTGTGGATCATTGCGCAACAACGGCAATTTTTTGCCGTATAGTGCAATTTTTATACTATTACTATTCACTGTCACCTGTGCATTACTATTTTGATACTTAAATTCAGTCGTAAATCACTACTTTAGCCATGCGTAAATCACTATTTTAGTCGAAAAAACCACTAAAGAAATATGTAGACATGTTTCTAGCTTGTCAAAAATTCAAAGTAACAATAAAATTAAAGTTTTATTACAGTAATTTGAAAAGTGCCGTGGAAACTGTCAAAATTGGCATAGACAGCTCTTGCGTTCCACAGCAATTTTTAACGCTTATAGGCAATTTCACGTTGCGGACATTACATTCACAGAAAAACAATTAATACAAAACATGCTCTGTTTCCTGTTTGCAACAGTTTCAGATCTGGGAACTTTGTCATAGAAAACCTTAAGGGGACCTCTTAAGATTTCATAAAATAAAACAAAATTCCCTCGTAATCAATTCTTGTAATAAAAAGTCAAAGTACTGTTGCGGACATTACAGCAAAATCAACCTCACATTGAAGTGATGTTTTTAAAATGTAATTTCCTGTGAACTTTGAAAGGTATCAAAGGAACTAAAACACTTCCTGCTCTCAGTGATAATTGGGGTTAAAAAATATGAAAACGAGATGTTCTACAATGCCCTTGCACATTGCATTTTTGGGATTGTATAGCAATCTGTATTAAAAATGATAGGAAATCAAAACTGGGTGACTGATTATGCACTTCAATGTTTCTAGTCCACATAACAGGCATTCTAGCTTAATTCTATTTTCATTTGTATACCCATGGGCGTACCAGGCGGGGGGGGGGCGGAGGGGGCGGCAGCCCCCCCCCCCAGTTTGTTGGGCAAACAAAGCCAGTCGGGCAATATTCGCTTCACACTTGGGCAATATTGGCTTATTATAAAAACAAATGGGACAAATTCTGTCAATTCTGTGGGAAATATGCTATCTATCTAATAGGAATTCTACGTCGACAACAATTTTGGAAAGTTTCTTCGGAAATTTTTTTAACAACGCGGGCACAATCCGAAAAAGTCAGGCAAATTTCTTTCCTCCCCCCTAATTTTTTCCTTCCTGTATGCCCATGTGTATACCACCATAAATCCTGGGATGAAATTATGGTCACATATATTACAGTATATAATCTTCTGTTGACAATAATATCTTTCAAAAGTGCAATATTTGTTGCGCATAGACTCAGGCAATGACTCGGGTTGTGCAGCAAATAAAGTGTCATGTTTGTAGACCATTCTATTTGACAGTTTTGCATTTACTACATTTGATGGGGATAATTAACACCCCTGGGTTTAGTGGAAGATGATCAAAACAAACATGAATTAAAACATGATTTTGCTCTTAACAACATATGCCTTACAAAACTGATGGTACAATGGCAGTATACGGTAGTGGCATTATATGTAACTTGGAAACTTTCCATGATGAATTGTGTCACTGTGATTGTGTATACAGCACGGAGTGATTATATTTAAAAGTAAGGGTCCCATAGTCCTTTTAATGTTCTATTTTTAAGTCATCAAGCTTAAAATAACTATAGAATTCAAGCAAGGCAATTATATAAGCATGTAATTCTCCAATTTCAAAAATGTAATGTCTGCAACGTAATGTCCGCAACACATTATTCAAGACATGTTAATACTTTTTATTGTGTTTTTCCAGTCTAAAATAATGTTAATACCATTTTAAAAAAGCAGCACAAATATAATGTCAAAAGAGCTAGACGTTTGGCTGAAAAATAAATTGAATTGTTTTTTTTGTTGCGGACATTACATTTCTCTTACCCAAACTTCGATGCACCATAAATCACAGCAACACTGGATATTGTCTGATCTAACATTGTCATCATGATATGTGAACCTTAGACTGTGTTTGTTAAGAAATATAACTTATTTCAAAGTTAAAGTGACTGAGTTATAATTATTTTAAATAAACACACTTTATCCACAGAACAATAGCAACAAACAAGTGCAGATTCGACGGTTTGCCGCAGAGTGGGCATGGGCCAAAATTCAAAAATCGTTTTGATTTATGATAATCCAATGTGTTAACTATGGAAACATGTGGTTAGCACCACATAATGTTGCATTTTGCAATTTTGCCATTTTCAATGTCTCATGTGAAATTGACCCTATGCCGTCAATTGATTTCAGGGAAATTCGAGGCCTGGTGCATAAACATACACGCACAGCTAGAACAGTATTTGATTTATCTTTGAGGCTATCATCGCATTATTTTACCGTATTTCTTGAGCATCAAGCTTCAGCGAAGTCAATGGCAATATTGGAATTTGGAAATTAGGGATGAGCCGATACCAGAAAAAAGCCGATTCGCCGATCCAATATATCGGAGCCAATATAAAAAATAATCGGCCGATTAATCGGCTATGGCCGATATTTCTGTGTACCGGGGTACAAGCGCCGGATAACGGTTTTTTGACAACTTTTAATACTTTTGTATACGCCACAAATTGACGTACTAGTTTTAGTGTGTTCGGTCACTGTACGAGTCAAATTACAATTAATGGATATGGGATTAA